AGGCTGTGATCATAAACGCCTAATGACCTCAAAGAAAGTCCTGACCGAGACTGCGTAAGTCCGTAAGCATCGAAACCCAGTTTTTCTTCGTATCTAAAAATATTACCTTTAACCAATCCTCTTCTTTTTGCTGATATTGCTGTTTCCTGATGCCCATCGAGTTTGTTTAGGCAGTATGCAAAGTTTTCGCTAATCCTGACTTTTTCAAGTCTCCTGTTCATTAGATTTCTTTTAGTCAGGATATCGATGGCTTCTCGTGTCTTGTGTCTTATTGTATTTCCACCATTTGCAGCCAGTCTTTCTGTCGATTTCCATTCGATTTCATCTCCCGTCCGTGCATTATGTTCCGCTATTTCAGATCTTTCAGTGTCCATGTTTCTACAGGGTCTTTGGTGTTCTTTGATTCGTAGGCTGATTTTTATTCCTGCTTCACCAATATACTTCTCCGCATTTAATGCTATAGACTCCCGAGCAATCCATTTTATCAATCTTCTCCTGTTGCGTCGGCAGGCTGGTGAAGTATTGTTTTTTATTTTGTTATCACCTTGATATTCCATTGTCTTAGAAACCGTGTTAATTCTTGGCTCCGTTCACAGGACAGGCATATCCACCTGGTCATCCCACCGACTCCTGATGTTATCTTCAAAAAATCCTGTGAACTGAGATGTTACTGTGAGCAGAAGTATATTGGTGAAACTGGAAGAAAAGTTAACTTACGGTTAGCGAAACAAAACGAACGGACAGGACACGAAATCGTCAAAAAGACTGGCTATGTATGGTGGAAATACAAGAAAACATAAGATATCAGAAGCCGTTGATATCCTGGCCGAAAGAAACCTAATAAACAGGAGACTCGAAGGATTATCGACAATTTTGCATACTGCCTAATCAAACTCGGAGAAGATCAGGGAACAGCAATATCAGCAATATACAAATGACTGGACAAAAGTAATATTTTTAAATTTAGGAAAAGAAATTACAAGAAAATCAGATACGAATAATAGGAAACCAAGAGGAGACGTCTACAATGAGCCTATTCAAATCAGATATAACTATCACATTTGGGGGTCGGCACACAAGAAACTTGGACATAAGAAAGTCATAGACTTGGCACGGCCATCATTTTCGTCTTCTTATCTAAGACATAATCTAAGATCAACACTATTTTATAGGCATGTATTTATCTATTCTTAATGAAGGTGTTCAGAGTAACTAATAGCCTAATGAAAAAAAGTGGAGCATCTTCTCAGGCCATTACCATTAGCCCAAAATGAATGGAAGATATTGATTTGATCGTGATTTTAAGTGAACAATTTAATCATAACTACATAAAAACAGCGCTGAAATTTAAATAGATTCAATAATCAAATAAGAAATAAAACAAGAGCCTACTTTTGTGGTTAATTGAGGAAGAAGTTCAAGCGTAGTAATAAGGCAACTAATTCAAAGAAAATCAAACAATCTGATTTATAAGAAGCCTAAATGAACATCAGCCTGTGGCTAAGATTTAATATGGCCATAGGTCCTTTAAAATTAGTCGTGCACCAGAAAAAATTGACTCGTATTTTTGAAAGTATGCAGTTATTTGAACGTAAAGAAAAGAAAAGGGAAGCGATTACGAATCAAGCGTAATAAATAAATTAGAAGAAAAACAAAATTTTGGTGGAAATATACTCCGAGAAATGAACTTAAATAAAATAAAGGAATAATAAGGCATTCTAAAAAGGAGAAGTAACAGTAGCTTACTCTGATTACAATTCTGTTGATACTGTTAATAAAATCTATCTACTGGTAGGGTCAAAATTCTACTTATACACGAAAAATATAATTAATCCTTGACGAATCAAGAAATACGCAAGTTATGTGAAGTGGTTAATCTGGATGGGCTAAATTGAAACGAATGCTGATAAAAGAAGAGTGATGCTAAAATACTTACGATGCTGCTATTTGAAGAGTGTGCAAGGACAGGTGCCGCTTGCAAGGACTCGAAGATTCATTACAAGTAGCGAATTTGCTCATCTGTTCGCAATGGAGGGCAGATTGCCGGAGTCGAAAGATAAAGAGTGAGAGAAGTGAATGGGGATAAGACTCTGAGTTTCCGTCACCAGGAAAAGAGGAAGAGAAAGAGCAGGATGTATAATTGCCGCATATCAATGCCACTTGGGAAGGGTGAAAAAAGTGCACAATAGGAAGAGTGCGCAGCAGAAGGAAGCCAGGAGAAAATGAGGATGAAGAACTGTAAAATAAAAAATGAAAAATTTTATAAGAAGGCTCGATTAACTAGCAACTATATGTTACATTGCACTTCTATATAAAAAGATTACCCTGTATCTGTTTGTAGTCCCATCTTATCTGATCTTTTGGCAAATGAACTATAGGAAGTTGGTTGACCTTGTTTTCGCAACTTGGTCATATTGGTAGAAAGACCTTATTTTGATTAGGCTCAATGTAGAAACACAACATCTGTGGGTTGGCGCACAAGAGACTAATGCATATGACGTCATGACTTGACATTATGGATAAAAGCAAGATAGATCCGGTGAAAACTAGTGCTAGTTCGCTAACCATAAAGGTAATATATGCAAAGAAAAGTTGGGTTTCATAATTGTTGAGCTTACTTACATTTCGAGAGAAAGTGTTTGGTGAAGAGATTTGAAG